CCCATCCCACGGACGGGGGTGAGTGAGTGGCTGTGTGGGGCTTAGTTGCAGCTGAGGTTAAACCACGACAGGCAGAAATGCAGACATAACTTTCTCTTTCCACATCAATTTTTAAAATGACTACTATTTGTTAACTTCCAAGTACAAAGCAACAAAAACTAATTCACACAGCACTCTGTAGCCATCAACATAATTAGAGAGGACAAAAATGAAACCTTCTCAAAGTCCATTTCAAAAATGCTTGGTTTTGCCACCTGGGCCCACAAGAAATGTTGTGGAGATGATGGTGTTAGAGCTTTATTTTGGCCTCAAACTCTAAAGTTATAGCAGATTTGTCAGGTTATACAGTGTTCTCAAGTTTTATGGAATCTGACTAACATCAGAAGCATGTTGCAGCAAGGAAAAAAAAATACAACGTTCTTAAACATTTCAGTGAACTTTTGGGGAAAAAAAAAAGGTGTCAGCCTTTTCTTCCTCTGTTGTATTGCAGCATTCACTAGAACAGATCCGTGCAACATAAGACCTATCGATCATCTATAGCCTTGAAAGCTATTTCTTTGGTCTTCTGGTGCTTACAGTGTGCACCGTTTGGCCTGCAGCATGTGCCTCCCTGCCAGATGGGCAACCAATCTGTATACCTTCTACCTGGGCAGTAAGCCAGTCCTAATGTGCCTACCTCCTGCCTGGAAGTTACGCGTGTGCTGTTTGGGCAGCAGCAACTGGGAATACAGTATTGCTTCTGAGCATTGGGTTGGCTAAAAAATAGCATGCGCTTCCCAGGAAAATATTTTTTGAGAAGTGGCTAAAGGGTGGGGGATGGTGCTACCGCTGTGCCCTTTCTTAGTTCTTTATATTGGAAGGAGAAATGGGAAAGGCAAAATTGCCCTAGAAAGGGCACTTTCAGTTGTGGAGAGGAAGGATTTCAGGTCAAGGGGAACACAATGAATGGTTGCAAGAGGGGAAGGCTTGGTACAGAAACAGGGAATGAGATGGCAGGGAAAAAGGATGACCCACTATTGACAAACTGGACTTGGGAAAGGGCCTCACATATTTGAGACAGAAGGCAGCCACCTCACACTTGCTAGGCACAGGAGTATAACATAAACAGAGTTTGATCCAGGCAGCTATTCAACTTTCTCTCTCCAGGTAATGGAACTGAAATTCTCCGAAAATCCACTCTACTTTACTACCATTACATTCTGCAGAGTAATCTTTACCACATTAAAATTAATTTACAAATCTCTAAATTATGTCTGAAACACAAGACCAAGGTTTTAATATCATGACAGTACTGCATGCCAAATTTCTTCTACCAATTCAGTGGCAGAATTTATAATTAAACTTACATACTTATCGAAACACTGACTTAGAGTACTAGGCTAATAAGCCATGATTATTCAGAGGAAGAACTATCTTCAACCATTGACTTCAAGTTTATTTGTTAAGATGTTGTCTTTCAGAGTGCAAAGGCCTAGAATTCCTCAAGTCTCAAGCCTGAATACAAAACAGAAAAGGGGAAAAAGTCTTCTCATAATATTTTGGATAATTTACTCAAGAGATTCGAGAGAGCTAACATCTCTATTACCTGCAGAAGGTCTTTATATATTCTTGATTGAATCTGATGAAGCCAGCGCACTGTTGGAAGGATTTGGGACCCAGACCTTTAACTTCCTTGAGCTGTTCTCGGTTTATAAATGGTCCATTCTTCTCTCGCCATTCAATTATATTTTTAGCCCTGTTAGCATTCAGTCCCGCAATGTGTCTAAGAGAAAAGTTTACAGAATACATTTATTACCATTGAACAGGCATTAATACAAGTGCTATCCACTACAAGGATACACATTACTGTAGAAAATTTGGTTCACAAAACTTAAAAACGGCTAAGAAATTTGTAAATAGACTCCCAGACCAAAGGCATCGTCTGAGAAAGGATCCCTTCTCTTAGTTCTGTGGAAGGAATCCACTCAAGTCAACAAAACCTGGTGCAGCAATACGGTTCCGCACATACCTAACTAGTAAGCCAGGGACATGTAATTTATGATCTGTTGGCTATTTCTGTAATGCTAATTCAATTTGTCACATCTTACGGCCTGCCCCCAGCTGCCCTCTTCAGGAAACAACGTGGGAGAAGGGTTCAGGACAGATAAATTGTTCCTGTGAGAACAGCCCCCTCTCAGCTATTCTCTTCCAATGGTACCACAACACCTTGCCCCAACATGAAGGGCTGACGTCTGCTATCCAGAAGGAAAGTGGCTGGAAGCAGCTTGCCTTCTTCACACAATTTAACAGATCCACACAGCTTGTCACTTTTCTCTCAGCTGCTCTTGAGATAAAAGAGCAGCTGGGAACAGGCTGTATGAGGTGTTCTGAGGGCAACTCAGATCTGGCAAAGAACTTACCTGTGAAGTGCAACTGCAGTTAGCCAAGTTCCTTCAGGAAGCAGTGGGTTTGCTGTACATTTTCTGTATGTACATGTGAGTACAACTTTCTGTATATGGAGTATGTTAATCATAGAAAGAGGGAAAAGAGCTGTGGTGGGCAGTTACTCCTGGCACTAGAGAAGGAAATGTCACCCATCTGGCTCTATATATCAGTTTCCATTGCTTTAAGTCAATGGCAGCAGAGATCTGTTTGTGGAATGGCACAGGCTGATTCTAGAAAAACACCACCAGCAAACCTGGCAAGAATAGCCAAAAATCGGGAGGGGGGGGAATTAAAAAAAAAAAAAAAAAAAAAAAAATCTTTCCATTATTCTCATCCACAAGAAAAAGTTAAAAAAAATCCAAAGCTGGTGAAACCTCTGAAATAAATTGAAGAGACACACCTTTAACCATAGACACAAAATATTAACCATTAGGAATGGAATTTTCTCAGAAAATTTCTTAGAAACATTATGAAATCCGGCTTATTTACACTGAACATGACACAGTTCACAGAATTTTCCACTGATGATCTCAAGTCTTTAAGTACGATACTCAGCAGTAATGCAAGTACTGTAGCATTGTCCCTCCTTCCACATGTAATATGTGTCAATAAGTGTATTTGATGCATCAGAAAGCACAAGCAGAAAGCCCTGTTAGCTTTCTAGCTAGGGTGACAATTTCATATCCTGTACATCCGAGAGAAACTTAGACCCCGTCTACACAGAGCAGCAGAATTGAACTGGTGAGGATCAAGTTAGATCCAGAACTTGACGCAGCATGTACATACAAGCATCACAAGCCAGGTTAATTAGACCAAACAAAGTATTTAGCCAACGTGGTTACCACCTGTAACCATGACTGGACAGTGTCACTCCACGTTCACAGTTTTGTGGAGACACAGCAGCACCTCAGCCTGATGCCCTCTGCTGAACTGCACAATATAGTTGTACCCTGCAGAAGGCTGACAGTGCTCACCCACAGCACTTGCTCAGGTAGGGTTTTATTCACAAATGAAAGCTGGTCAGCCTCATTTACTGCTTGCTTGCTTACTAATAGCTGATCTAAGCCTGAAAGAAGGTAAGACAGAAGGTAAATCAGGAGTCAGGCTACGCATTAGATACACACACAGAAAAAGAATATGGAAGACTAAGTGGAAAAACAAAAAGAATAGACAGAGAGCCTCTTCAAAGTATGGAAAGATGTTTTCAAGAATGAAAATAAGGGGTTAAAAAAAATTAAAGACAGCTAGCAAGAATACATTTTTTGTAACTTTGATACCTAACGTAATTGTCACTATCTAAATTATGGACGTTCTTTTTCTTCCCCTCCTACTACAGAGGAAGACAGCAACACTTTGCTCTTCTGGGAGGCTGCTCAGCTAAACGATTCTCAATTCTACCCACTCAAAAGAGAGATTGAGTTTTTAATTTCTAACCAAGAGAAATAAAATCCAGAACATTTTCCAAGTAAATATGGCATAATTACCTCAAAAAAAAAAAAAAATCAGTAAAAAGGGATAAATTTTTCAGCAGTTTCCCCTTAAATCTTTCCTTTTCTCCTTTCCTCACCCAACTTTTACAACCTGTTCCACTTAGCAGTACCTATAAAAATACCTTCTAAAAGACAGAAAGTACATTTGAAAATCCCTTTCTCAGTGTAAAAATACAAATTAATTATATCAAGTTTTTCTAAAATTGCAGTGTTGATTCAAAATTTTTAAATATCCGTTTATCTCCGAAGAGTAGTTTTACCCTGGAGAATCACACATACCCTTAAAAACTGACTCTTAATGATCCAGTGAAATACTGTCTTAATGTGTCATTTTCATGTAATTGGCAGTTTAACACAAGAGCCATTTGCTCCAGCTGAGCTTGAGTCAGATGGCAGACTAAACAGAGACTCTGTGATCCAGAGCCATGTAATTACTGGAATAGGAAAATGTTTGACTCACCTTAATAGTATTTCTGAGCAGATGTTAATATCAACTCCTACAAAGCTGACACACTCTTCAACCACACTGTCCAGAGTTGCTTTGAGCAAAGTCTGTGATACATCATGCTGAGAAACAAAAATGGAGATATCGGGTTACTGAAATATTGAAGCGTACATAAATAAGAACTGCAAACAATGCTAACATTAATAAAATAGTTGCTGGGACTTATCAGTATCTTATGTGAGGGTACCAGTTAAACACGTAAATTGTAGAACATATTTTTAAAAGGTCTCCAGTACCTCTTTGCAACATCTTTGTCGTGATACAAATCCCTAGAATAAGACACTCTTCACATTACTGTATTTTTTTTGTTCAGTAACTATTCCCCTGCATCATGTAAAAACAAAGCTATATGAAACACATAATGATTACTCAAAAAGGAGTAATGCTTGTGTTCATCTACTATGTCTCGTCCTAAATCTGACATTTATTTACCTATAATATCGGTTTATTAAAAATAAGACAATATTTTAAAAATAAGGAGAAAAGATCACAAATGCTGTACTTTTGCACCTGCAGACACAAATGTTTGCAAAATTGTCCTATTTATGAGCATCACACTACAGTACGGTTATTATTTACTACAAGAACAAGCCAGGTATTGTATGAGGGTGGGCAATACATAAGGTACATATCAGCCCTGCAGCAAAAAAATGTTTCAGATTTTGAACAGATACTTCTGGGAAGATTGGCAGGTCCTTGACCAAAGCACTACTAATGGAAATTCTTCCAGGTTTTCCATTATTGCTCATAGTGTTACACCTTCCCCCCACCCCCCAAAAGCAAATCAGTCACACTTGTCAAAGATAAAAATTCTGAAGCTCTAAGATTTCTTTTCCTCCACAATGTAGGCGTACTTCAATCTATAACTTTTAGTTCCCACACAAGCCCATCAGCGCTTACAAGTCTGACCTGGAGGGAGAAGCCTCTCTAAATGCAGGAGCTAATTCAATCACTATGTCGGCTTAGCTTCAGGGCTCTTACACGTCACTCTTGTAAATCTGGGTTGATCTGTTGTGGTTTTGTGATGCATACATTTAGGACATCAAGCTGGATCCGAGCCAAGACACCAAACACTTCATCCACTACTTTGTTTTACCTTCTAAGCCATTCAGATCTTGTAAAGATTTCATAGTTAAATTTAACATGCCAACAGCATCGATCCCAACCGACTAATATTGGTAGTTCATCAAGTAGTGGTTAATAACTGAAACAATCGTAAAACTTACGGCAATGTATTTCATAGCCCCCTCATTTCAGGGAATGGTAAAGTGATGTATTTTCATGATGCCATACATAATAAAGTTACTTACAAATAGGAATTGTAAATTTTGCCAATACTACTCCTCCCATATAAAGTTCGCATGCAAAAGCCACGTACATGCATAAATACCTGCATTTGCACACAGTCTTGGCCTTACAACCACAAAGCTTACTTGTACACTTTGCAGATCAAATGTCAGTTTCTACTTACTAATGTGTTGCTACTATAACACAATGGCTTCTTTCCTGAATAAAGAGATATAAACAAAAAACCACACCCTAAAAAGAAGTCTTATGTTTCTATTTTTCTGACTTTTTGAAGATGCAGCTTCTCTTAGTGAGGATGTTCTATATATTCCCTCCTCCTGCCATCAGCCAGGTATGTACTAGAGCTAGAGGCTTCTAGCGCTCACACATGCTTATGCAAGGATGCATTTATATAACACAGTACAAGATCCAGAATAAAACTGTTCAGAAACAACACCCACTTTTTCTCTTCTTTGCCAAGTAGAGCTGCCAAATACTGGATTTTCCATGATGAACCACAAATTAAAAATTTAATAAAATAAAGATACTAATTTAACAATTATTTTCATTATGATGGAGGAAGGCAAAAGGAGAAAAAAAATGCAGAGTACTCAAAATTTCCGTCTGCTTTTAGGAAAGGCTACTGACTCCAAGGTACTTGGAAGTTGATTATCATATAGTTTCACAAGTTCCATTAACAAGTTCCCTTAACTGTAGCAGTTCTTGGCCACCTCTAAAAGAAGTGTGGTCTAAAATAACTACTCTGAATATAAAGTAGGGCCTGTGGCAGAGATTGGGGTAGACTGCTGTTTCAGTCTCATTCCTAAAGAAGATGATCATTCTTCAGATGGAATAACACGCAGTTAGGTCATTCAAAACTGAAACATTCGTCATCGTCTCTACAATGTCTTATAGCATTGGGTGTAGCAAAGAAGGTAATCCACAGATTTGGCCTAATCTTTCTAAGCAGTTCTTTGGATGAGACTTGAGTCAGCAGAAGCTTTATTTCCAGTCTGCTGACAGTGAACTTAGATAGCAATTCAGTCAACTGTAATCCCCGCTAAACCAGGAAAGGATATATCACAACCAAAAGCAAAGTGTCCTGAAATACCTCTGCCAGTGGAAGAAAAAACAGTGCTCACAAAACCTCAGTCTCAAATGCGAAGTTGGCACCTGAAGACTTAATTTTGCAGATGCAATAGTTTGTGTAAAATTCAGGTGACAGAACATACACATTTTGGAAAAACTGTGATATTCAACTGTTTAATTTTTTTTGCCAGGAAGACAAGGAGCTCTCAGGTCTCTCAAAGATGATTTGCATCTTTTAACTTTATTGCTGCTTGACAGTCACCATTAAAAAAACAAAACAAGACACGCACAAATTGTTCTTTACTACTCCAACACATAACAGTCGTACCACTTTGAATGGACATCACAGCACATATGTGAAGGTAGGGATAATGAAAAAGTGAATGGATAGATCTGACAGAACAGGATAAGCATAAGACAGCACGGCTAAAACAATCCCTAAGCTACCCATACCTCACAGAAGTAAGATACATTCAGCTAGTGAATGATGTTAAGTTGCAAACACTAGGAAAACTTTCCAGATGGCAAAGCTGCCTCCAAGATACAGCTACTGACCATCACAGTTTCCTTTTGCTATCATGAAGAAATTTCTACATCCCTCTTTACATTGGTGCAAAGCACAGAGAAGTGTTATGAATTTTGTTTCTAAAAGTAGTTAATTAAAAACACTATTATCCCAATATCATCGTCAAGACTTCCTACTGCTAACAGGTTACACTTCAGAAAGGTTTAAATTGCAGTGCATTTTCCCATCTTCCAAAAATTTCACTCACCTTCTCAAATATCAGAGGTTAGATGATATTATATACTTCTATGTACGATTTATATGTACTGGGGTGGTATCAGATTATTCAGACACTACTAGAAGCACCCATACTCCATACTACTCACTCGTTACAACAGGTCTGTAAAGACAGGAAACCCTCTCAACTGTTGCATTAAGCGCATCAGAATATAACCTGCACAGATAAAGCCCAAAGAATTTTATGCTGCACAGCCTCCTACAACCCCTCCACACACCAACATGGTCGCATCAGCTGATCCCCTGCAAATCCTTCTAAATAAAACATTTTCATATTAACACTAACTCTGAATGCACCCACCCCTATGCATGAGGGTGTCCCCACTAAAACAGTATTGTCTTTTCTTTTTAATCAGAATACTCTTATTTATTAACTGTCTTTATCTGTGGAACAAATACCACAACTGCCCCTACAACTCCCCTTACAAAACCAGAAGAAACTAGGTCCCTCAGCCAGCTGAACCATTCGTACCAGGAGCTTCCTCAGAGTCAAGCACAAAAGATGCCCCAACAGCTATGCATCACAAGTAAGGAACATGTCCTTTGGAGTGATTTTCAAACGTCATCTTGAATTTACCACCCAAATAAATCACTAAGGTTTTATTAAAAAGATACTCAGAAATGATGACCATTAAAATATTCACTGCTGGAATAGTAGATCTGGAGCAGAAGACTTCATTTTGTGTAATGATCTCCAAGCAATAAAAAGGATTGATTTCCCCCAATTTATGGAAACTAAGGCCAGCAGAAATACGGGACTTGCCACAAACTGCAGGATATCCACTGCAAATCTGCAAACTTTCATTTATCATAACTCTACAGAAAACAAAGCCACCTTGCTTCATGGATAGCATTAGGAAGTACTTAGACATCTGTTTGGTTTGAGTTTTCTGCCCTTAGAAATATCAGACACTATAACCGTATTTGAGCATTTGTTTTCTAAGGAATCATCAAGTGAGCCAGGGATCAAGACATAAAATTAAATTACTTAATTAATTGAAACTGCTATAGTAAATAATTGTAATTGACCAATAAATGAAATTCAAACAATACAGTTTTCTAATATTTTTATAAAGAGTACCCCAAATATCTCAAATGTAACTTACATTCATGAACCTGGAAGAAAATCAAGGGCTGCTATTTTGATTTCTGATCATGATTACCGCTCAAATTAGTCTGTGGTAAATTTGTTAAAATTACCAGAAAAAGAATACTATATTGCATATTTTAAAACCACCATTCCGCAAACGCATGCTAAAAAAACCCCAAAACAAAACAATATAACTTCATTTCATGTACTTTCATTAAACACAGCACAGAATGTTTAACACTAAAGAACAGTGTTTAAAAACACCTCTCTATTATGCACATTAGAGTTTTGTCCTATTACTGTATCCCTCAATACTTCAGCTATCTTTTCTTTTTACATGGTAAGAAGCAGAGAGCAAGGATTGTTGTTTCACTCGCTTTCAAGAGCTACAAACACTCACTGGAAATAATTAACATTACCAAAAAACTATCTGTTCCTTGAGAGGGTGCTACAACAACTGTAATTGAAAGCCACTTTCCAATTTCAAAAACCTGTTGATGTACACAAAAGGAAGGCAGTTTGTTAAATAGCCTCTCAGCTCAGTTATTTGTAGCAGTATACCAGTACAGACACTGTAAAAATACATTTGTCATCAGCATGACAAAATTATCTAGTCAAAGAACCACTGTTCACATGAAGCCCAGAGGCTGTACTTTGTCAATCTGCATAAGCATAGATGGTGGACCAGCAGACTGACTAACTTTGCCTGACCAAATACACTAAACACTAGATTACTAGTGCTAGACTAGGACAACCCTAACTGGAAGCTTTTACATGGAAGTAAATTACAACTC